GTCATGAGCTGGGAGGCGGGGGGGGGCTGCTGGGGCTCCGCAAAAATCCTCTCCGGACCTGGAACCGGACCGATGGCCGTTTCCTCCAGGTCGTTCCAGGTGTCGTGGTCGTCAAACACCACCTCCCCGTATCGGCCCCCAGACCCCAAACCCGACCCAAAACCCAACCCTAGACCCTCCGTCAGGGTAGAGTCACCCCCACTCTCCTCATCCTCCTCTGGGGCCGAGTCCCTGAGGCTTTCCTGGTCCTGGTCCAGGTTATGGTCCTGGTCCTGGTCCTGGTCCTGGTCCTGGTCCTGATCCTGATCCTGGTCCTGGTCCTGGTCCTGGTCCTGGTCCTGGTCTTGGTCCTGGTCCTGGTAGGAGCTCTTGTCGTATGGAGGGTTGGAGGGTTCGGGGAAGCGAACTCGCCCCCCCACCCCCCCCACATCGGGGGGGTCCCCGAACTCAGACCCACTGCCTGACGAAACGTCGGACAGCTGCCGTTGGCTCCGCCCACCTCCGTCCTCCGCCACGCCGCCGCACTTCTGGGCTCCGCCACCGGGGGGCGACTTGATGGGCGTGGAGGAGAGACGCCTCTCGTAGAGTCCGCCGCCATCGCCCCCCCGCTGCCGGCTATAAACGTCCATCTGGAGAATCTGCAAACCAACCAGAGACCAGTGAGGTTTGGATTTAAAAAGCGAAACGACTGAGCACCGTCACATTTTTTCTCCTCAAAGATCGCTTTGCTTTTTAAGCCTGAGGAGACAGTTAAGACCATTGAGGAGAGCTTAGCACCACACGAGGTCACTATAGGTCAGTCGATGCCTTAACCTGGAACTGGGATCTGGATGGAGAAAAAAATGGGCCTAAACTGGGCTCATCCTGGTGAGGGCTGGTTCAGTTTTATTGTGTCCTGTTATTGTCATTTTGATAATATCTGTCAAATTGTGTCTACTTTGTAATTCGCTTTGGATAAAAGCGTCTAAATGCAGAAACATAAACAGTCCAGGTGGGACCCGCCCTCCTGTCCACCTCTCAGAGGCAGAAACAAGCAGAAATCTGCCTAAATAAAAGCAGTAGGGGGGGAAAAGGCACGTTTTGGACATATTATATTGATGATAACTGTCAAATAGTTTCTACTTTGTAATTCGCTTTGGATAAAAGCATCTAAATACAGAAACAGAAACAAACAGTTCAGGTGGGACCCCCCCTGCTCTCCACCGCTCAGTCAGTGAAGGAGACGAGGCAGAAACAAGCAGAAATCTGCCAAAATGAAAGCAGTAGGGGGGGAAAAAGGCACGTTTCGGACATATTATATTGATGATAACTGTCAAATTGTGTCTACTTTGTAAGTCGCTTTGGATAAAAGCGTCTAAATGCAGAAACATAAACAGTCCAGGTGGGACCCTCCCTCCTGTCCACCACGAGGCAGAAACAAGCAGAAATCTGCCAAAATGAAAGCAGTAAGGGGGGGGGGAAGGCACGTTTTGGACATATTATATTGATGATAACTGTAAAATTGGGTCTAATTTTGTAATTCGCTTTGGATAAAAGCGTCTCGTAAATGCATAAACATAAACATACCTCATCTGGCAATTCACCGAAGGCCGATTTCGACCTGAATCAGTTCTGACCTGACCTTTCAGTTTTGGCCTCCTCACCTTTTGGACGAAGGAGGAGTTTGAGGAGAAGGACAACTCCTCGGCCGCCTGCTCCAGGAGCTCGAACTCCCCCAGCTCCATGCTCTCCATCCGCCGGTCGCTCTCCCAGAGCTGCAGCTTCTCCTGGAAGGACAGCTCCCAGCAGTCGGGGGGGGGCGGCTCCTGGGGGTTCCTGTCCTCAGAGGCCCGTTGGGTCCCCGTTTGGTCCCGTTTGGCCGGGGGGGGCTCGGTCTTCTCCGTGTTCTTCCTCTGGTGGCGGCCTAAGACTCTGGGAACCCTGGCCCGGTTCTCCTTGTTGAGCGTGGCGGTTTTGCGTTGGACCTGGACCGCCGGGGCGCCCCCGGCAACGGCTCTCTGGAGGAAAACCGGCGCCGAGTTGCTACGGGATACGGCCCGGGAGGCGGGAGGCGGCGGATTCACGGCTTTGCGGCTGCCGGTGAACCGGGAAAGGCCCTCGCCACGCTTCAGAAAGGCCCGTTTGGGACGAGCCTGGCCTCCGTCTAGACTCTGTTTTGAGGGAGAAACCACAGTTTTATTTTTGATATAAAAAAAAAAAAACAGGAGACCCCATTTAACTCATTGGCTGCCAAAGACATCTATAAACGTCAATTCAAATACAACCGTTGACTGCCAAAGACGTCTATAGACGTCTTTTATGTTTTTCAACGAGAGTGGCTGGGGGACGATCTGCTAAAGCTTGTCCGTAAATATCAGGCTTCTAGACAGAGTATGTAGTAACAAATTGACTCTCTAGGTGGCAGTGTCACTTTTGATGGGAGATGAGCATAGACTGTAGGCAAATAAGAAAAAGGGAACGGTTCACTATGAGAGAACATGTCGCCGGTGAGACGCACGTCGAGGAAGAACGGAATAAGGTAGAAACACATTTTTTTTCCTGATGAAAGAAGAGAGTCTACTCTTTCTTTTGGTGTGTTCGGTGTTTACATAGTCATAACATAAACTATTATGTGGCTCTTGAAAAATCAGTCAAAATGCTCAAAAAACTCTGGCAGTATGGGACTCTCTGTTGTGAAAATGGCTGCCAGTCAATGAGTTAATAATGAAAGGAGCAGTCATTCGTCATATTACATACACACAACTCCTATTATTATATACACTGTACTTAATCTGTGTTTTTTGTATTTTCTATTCATTTATTTTTATTTTTATTTTTTTGCTTAATTTAATTTCATTTAACTTCATACTTTTTTGCCCTGTAAGCTGCTGGTAACCTTAATTTCCTGAGGGAGTCTTCCAAAGGGATCAATAAAGTACTGTCTAAGTCTAAGTCTCATTTCATCTGGAGTCTGTTTTAGGACCAAATTCTTTTTTTTCCATCTGAATGGAGACCTTTAAAGTACATGAGTCTTACTTTCTGTTGCTGGGCAGACTTCAGCCTCTGCTCCTCCAGCTTCAGCTGCTCCTCCAGAAGCTCCTCAAACGTCTGCTTCTGACCGCTGATTCCCGGTTTTATGGGTCTGGAAAACAGACGGAGTGAGGACAAACCAGTCCAGAAACGGCCTCAAACTGAACGAAGAGGCGCTCACCTGTCCTGGAAGTCTTCGTTTTCCTGCTTGCTGGTGTTTCGAGTCCCGACCAGGCCTTCTTGTTTCCGTAATTCCTCGTCCTGATCACAGTTTTCGCCAAAACTTTCTTCTCCATCGTCTCCTCTGGAGTTCCAGCCGTCTGCAAGCCACACACAATTTAAAAGATCACCTCCTGACTCTTTCAGCAGAGGAATCAGGGGATAAACTCTGGTGTGAAAGGCAGACCTCCGGAGCAAAGCGGGGACTGGCCGGCTTTTCCCAGAAGCCTTTGCTGCTGCTCCTGGAGGCCCAGCAGCTCCTCAAGCTGATGGGCCCTCAGCTGCTGCTGCATGTGCTGCTGCCACTTCCTCAGCTGCAATGGAAGACAACAAAAATCAATCAATATCTGGAAAGAATTTAGCCGGAAAACTATCTCACGTTTTTTTTATAACACCGTGTCAAAGCGCTCATTACTCATGCTAAGGTTTCTGCCTCCACCTTAATTCCTCCCGGTCCTTATGGAAACTTGGAAAATGAACAGAAGAGATCTTTAGCAATGAATGGAATTTATTCCGGCCACAAGTAGGATATCACAGCGCTGGACTCTCTGGGGAATGTTGTCTCAAAGACACGATTCCACCAAAGAGCCCCGAATATGCGTCACTCAGGTAAATTTATCTTCTTGGGCTAAGCTCCGCCCCATACAATGCAAAAATTGTAATTGGCCATTTAACTCTAACGTGAACATGCCAGCTTCCTGTTCACGTGATCGTATAGTGTAGTAACAAAGTGTTGTGAATGTTGTTTGATGGCGTGCAGCTAAAAACACAGGATAAACATGAACTGTAACAGAATCTAAAAATTAATTCTTTCATTCACAAGGGAACACTGGATGCTGGAGAGGATGTGGGTGCCTAAAGGCGCATCGTTATCATTTGTTTTGGGAATGCCCAGTTATCCAGAAATATTGGAAAGAGATGAACTATGTAAAGCAAACTGTTTATAAGGTCACAATCCCTCTCAACTTCAGAACCATGTACCTTGGACTGAAAATACCGGCAATGGACACAGTAAATAAATACCTTTGGAACATAATGCTTGCTGCTGGAAAAAAAAGCCATAACTACAAAAATGGATGACACAGTCAGCCCCCACGATTTCAAACTGGATTGAAATCATGACTGAAATAAGAAACATGGAACAAATTACTTTTAAACTTGACATTTTTCACAAACTTTGGTCAAAATGGGACTCCTACAGGCTAAAATGTGCTGTGCTTCAAAATGGTTCATGTTTCATCTCTGCTTTCAACAAGCTGCATTTTTGCCAACTGCTCTCTATGTCAAACTGTTCTGTGTTATTAATGTTGTACTGAAAACTTTGAAAAAAGAAAATCTAAAAAAATTCAATAAAATCAGACGCTTTTAGTGGTTTACTAGGTTTCCAAGCAGGACACCTTTGATTGGAGCCCGATTAAGGGCCTGGCGTTAATCCCAGCTCACGACAGGAGAGGTTGCTTACTCTCATCCCAGCGCCCGCGTTACTATTTAAGTCCTCAATAGCAAAAAGAGCCCAGTGAGATGCTAAAAATAACCAGTAAAGTCACTCTGCCGAAGGACACGAGAAGTGGACGGCAACTCAGTGGCAACGTCCCAAAGAAGAGCTTTGGGATTTCCCTCAAGAAGCCTGGAAAGCTGCTCCTCAAAACAGGAGCCAACACTGGTGGAAGAGGGTTCAGACTATGTTGGAGAAAAAAATAATAAAAAGAACTAATAGAATTGTATAAATTTGGCGCTTTTGACTTATATGGTAAAAGGTTCTGCTCTCAAATTGCATCTTTGGCCCACATTTTAAAGTAAACAGGATTAAATGTCTGAAACTGACCATTTTAAATGTGTTTCTTCTTAATTTGGTGGCACCTTGTTTCAGTTTTCTTAGCACTATTTAAGGAGCTTTTAGCCAGAATGGAAAAAATACATTATATTATCTGCTATCCTATCACAACACTGTCAGTTAAACATTTTAGATGGTTTTTGGATTAGTTTTTCTTTATCACAGAACTTAGAAATTACTCAGTTGATTTTCACTGTGTCAAATATGTAAA